TGAAACATATAATTTATTAAATAGATTTTATTTACTTTGGGTAATTTGATATCTGCTATTAAACTCAGAAATAATATTGCATACATTTTTAAATAAAATATTCATATTAATAACCTCAGCCATAAGTTTATCCGTTTCACCTAATGTTGAAAATTTGAGATGTTCGAAATATTACAGTGTGCATATTTTTTAAAAATCTTTGGAGAAGAAAAGGACAAAAGAGTAGAGGGAGCACATACTTCCAACAGCTCTGCAAAAATATTCAAATTTACTAATACATTGACATCACACCGTCTGCTTTTTGCAAATTTGCCTAAAAAAGAAATTTCTTCGAACGATGCATTTTTTAAATATATTAGCACTGAAGAGAAAATAGTTACGCATTCATTGCTAATACAGTAGGGGCATATTTTACTCAAACAGCATAAAAACATATTTCTGCCGGAGATGGTCCACGGACGTTCCAAAGCAAACTTTGCGCAAAATACATAACTATGAGATTTATGAAATCTAAAATATTTCACACAACCCTAAATTTTGAAAAGAAAGTGATGTCCATTTTGAAATAAATGAAATAATTATTGGATAAGATTTGTGGCGGAAAATTTAACAGCAAACCAGAGATCAGTGATCACCCAATACCATTATTAGGAACTGTCAAAGGACCATACTCGTAAATGCTTATATAGATTGATAAGCTACGTGGTAATATACGTGAATTTATAATCTACGTAACAATACGATGGTAACAATCGATGTTTAATCCTTCATATGAATAATTTTATTTCATCTATTGTATTGAATTGTGAAAAATAATTTATGCAAGGCACAGGCAACTTCTTTTACACAATTTCCACAAAAAAAAGTCGCTTTATGCAAACAACATTTTTTTTCCAGTTTAGGCAGAAACATATTGACATGTATTAACACATTTGACACGGTAATATTCCTTATTACAATATCTATGAATATATGAGAAATATATCCATAAGAAATATTTTTAGCCATTTATAATCTTGGAATTTCGCGACATTCGCGAGGGAGGAAAATTGAAGAATTCTTGATAACAATGAAAATAATTATATCAGTGGTCATCTTTAATGTTTCATAATTTCGTCAGTTCGTCAATTTTTGATTCTTTGTAGCATTTCCGATTCTTGAAGTTTTTCTTTGATACCAATTCTCGAATTGGTTTTCTAATGTTGATGATTGAAGTTGTGAATCTCTGTTACCATCAACTTCTATTTCTACAGTTAATATAATCGATTCCTTCTCCTGTAACAATTTCCTCCCAATAGCTCTTCTCCTGGCTTTCTTTGTTAGACCATTAAGTTGTTCATACACTCCTCCGCCACTTCACGAAGCTTTTGGTGTAATGCTCTTCCAAGTTATACTCTTCTCTGAGAATGTTTCCCCATCAAATCTGCTTCTAACTTTCCAATAGTGATCGATTTCGTGATAATATAGATTCCATTTTAATATCTCTTCTGTTATTCCTTTTAACTGTGCTTGAGTGATTAGGACTCTCATGACTGGTTCGCGATCCAACGTTGTTATTTTGGTTTCTTTGTACATCCTTCAATCATGTGAATTTCTCCTTTGATATAATCTTTATGAATTTAATACTCGTGTAGTTATTCTTCATAGTCTTACATGTATTAAATCGATTTGCATCAATTAATCGAAATTTTCTATCTATTATAACTTTCGTTGTATTCATTATTGTAGAATTCTCACTTCTTCGTTTTCACATTCCTCATTAAATTCGTATCCCCATTGAAGCCATTCAGTTTTTTCTTTTGACAACCGGAATGGTTAATTTCCCGGGTTATCTCATAACCTTTGGCTAATTTCTTCTCGGGTAGGCATTTGATCTAACAGTGTCAGACTCATTCCTTTGACTTCTTCGAAAAGGTTTTCTAGTTTTTCTGTTTTCGGTTGTACTCCTTTAATTATTATGGCGGACATCTTAGCTCGTGGCACCAAATTAAATTGTTGTGAATGGATTTGTTTGATTTGATTTGGTTTGGGAGAATTTTGCTTTTATGTGGCACGGTCGAATTTGTTGGTGAAGGTTTCCTTCTTTAGGAGAGATTTTCTTTAGATCGATATTATTGGGTTGGTTGTATTTTCTTGAGAAGGTAGTTGATCGTTCTATTAAATCGCGGTCTGATGAATTAGGCTTGGATTTGTTATTCGAGTCTTGGTCTCGTATGTTTGTTCCAGACACTGTTGACTTTGATATAGTGAGAAACTACGCTAGCTAATGTAGTTTATTGGATCAGATAGATATTCAGTTGGCGACAATACTGATAGCGTTGAAGTTGAGTGCGGAGAGGGGTAATAATGATGATACAATACTGATGTGTGGATTTATATATCCATTTTAGACATCAAAGATCAAAGTGAAATACAATTTTGGTATTCGGCAGAAACATGATATTCTTAAGAGAATGCCGACTAATTTATTCAAATATATTCCCATTTTGGGACAAATATATGATATATTCCAAACATAATTGTGATTCAAGGGAAATTAATGGTCAAATAGACCACACTGAAATATAATCCTACGGTAAATTGGATTAGGTTATCAATAGGTTTCAATTATTGGAGTATAGTTTTATAAACATAATTATAATTCTCAGGAAATTCACTGGCAAAATGATATATTCATACACATATTTTTTTTATATATTTTACTAAGGAATATTTCTCATGAATTTGATTTGATAATTTTGTATTATGGATTAATTTCGGATTTCCGAATATGCAGAAAGTCAAGAAAGTTAAAATTATTTTTATGCTACATAATACATCAGAAAAATTTTCGAATCAGTAAAAAGTTAATTTGCAAAAAAAGAAATTTTCCGGTGATAACTAAAATTCACATCTTTTTGGTTTTTTACATTATCTTCCAATAAGTCGAAAATAGAAATTAAAATTTAAAATCTGAGAAAATTAAGTTCTACCAAAATTATTCGTTGTAAAAGGTGTAAAACTATCATTAAAATAAGATTTTATCAATAAACACTTATATTACAACCGTATGCTTGTACACAATCTAGAAAACAAATACAAACATCAAGAAAACCTATGATACAAACCAAAATATCAGACTTTTCATAGACAAGCACTATTTAAGAATACAATCTTCAAGATGATTTTTCCTGTTGCAGTTGTACTATAAACTCCTCCAGCCTTTCCTGGATATGACGCACCTGCTCTGGAATAAAAGAAGTTAACATTATAAATAATTCAAGTAATCAAATATACATGTAAAACAAAGCGATTTAATAAATATTAACTATTACTGAACATTAATCTATCTGAGATGAATCTGATACAATATCATTTGAATTTTTTAAAAATCAAAAGTTATAAAACAAATACTTACTTAATTCTTCAGCTAGTTCAACACGTCTACCAGTTAAATATTCTTTCTTCTTGTCTATATCATGAGCCCATTCATCTAAGACATCCTGAAAAACAAAGAATTTAATTCGCTATTGATTTTGATTCCTTGATGTCGAAATTTCACACTAAAAAAATGCCTGATATACTCAGAGACCAAACCAAGGCTGATTACTGTCTCTTTTATCAATTTGAATATGTAATGAACAGAAAATCCTCAATAATGAACAAAATAATAGTCCACCTATCGAAACATTTTTTCCTGTGTTTTTGAATAAAATATTAAAAATTATAGTGATTTGAAAAAGACTGACATCTTTTCAGACGTTTAAATTTATTTGCATAGCTTTTCAAAAATAAAAAGTAAATTCTTCTATCAAAATTTTCACCTTAATTTCTTTCTCCAGTCTTCTTTGTTCCGTATTTGTGATTTGTTGTCGTAATGCACTGCATGTTAAATCGATCATTTTCTGTATTCTATAAAAGAGTACCACTGCCTGACAATCCACGTCTGTATCATCGAAACCGAGTTTGTAATGTGGATAGAAATTTCGGCACTCCACAGCCGTCTGCAAATGAACAAAAAAACAGTATTATAAACGACAAAAGCATCATATGCAAAATCATAAAATGAGTATATTCTCCTTCAAGAAATTTAGAGACGGACAGAAAGTATGACGAAAGACTAAAATGAAACCCAACAAAAAGAATGGAAATTCCATATGCATTAAAGAAGAAACAAATATGAAATTAGACACTTGATACTGCCGTTCCAAAAAGTGTTCCCGATATATTAATTTCCAGTGCTTTCGAACCAGTTCATTGCTCAATTCCTTTAAACCTTTTGCTTCTAGGTTTCTTCTTATAATAGTCAAATCATCGTCCAACAATGACTGAGGATGATCCTACAACAAAAAAGAGTACACACTGTAAAGTTTTGCAATATCAAATTTACTGCTACTTTTATTTAGTTTCAATTACTTCACTCACGGGATTTTGCATTAATATGTTCTTCAACTCCTCCTGGACTGCATCAGCCAAATTATTTTCAGCAGTCGGTGTTTTCCAGTAAATCCAACGTGCCCAAAATGAAGGACCACGCGATTCATCTATCAATTTGCGAGTCTGAAAATTTTCAGGTATACAATCTTCTCCAGAATTCGGCATTTTATACTCCTGACATTCAATCTAAAAAATATATAGACTGAAAACAAACCTCAGATAAACGATCTCGTATGGCTGACGTCATAAATTCGATGGTGTTATCCCATGAACGATGATCGGGTACAACGCGATCCTCCATTGCATTCAGCTGAATAACTCTCTGAAAGAAAATTTCAAACGTCTAAATGGTTAAAATTTCTTTTCAATCTTTTAAAGACTACTCTAGAACTGTAATAACATAACTAAATAATTTTCAGCCGTTAATGAAAGACCGTGATTTATTCAAATTGAAAAAATACTAAATTAATTTAAAATCATAAAATGTAAAATAAATAATGAAAGATGAAAATTGATAATCACCAAGTAATCCATAGCTTTGCTATCCCATTGATGTTCACTTAACGCAGCTTCTAAGACAGCATGTTTTAGCCTATGAAATACATCATTATCTTTATCTTTGCGATGTTTTGCGTCATCTTCCATTTGCTTTCTGAACAGCTCCGACAGAATTTCCCATCCAGTCTAAAAATATTTCATGAAATTTCTAATTTCAATTTAATTTCAAGCAATAGATATCATTTTGAATAAACCTCGAGAATTATTCATAATTCGTGTGACATTTAAGTACATTACTGCTGTACGAATATTATAACTAAATAGTAAACAGAATTCACTTGTATCGATTTGCTCGCTAAATCTTTATCAGCCCAGTGTTTCATTTTGATATCTACCAATGTATTGAAAGTACCAGCATTATCAACAGAGCAAGCAGGCATCAAAATTTGATCAAAGATATGGCTTGCAACCTAAAAAAATCTATATTTGAAATAATTTTTTAACTAAATAAAATATAACAGTGTACTAATAGAAATAAACAACTTACATATACTATACATTTCGCATCTTTTTTAAATGAATACTAAAATATATAGGAAATTACATCGAAATTACATTTTATTCTGAATATGGAATCGAAGTTATCCATAGATGCGAGTCATTTTTCAATAGCAAAATCTCATTCTTTTCTTAGCAAATTTCTTAAAATATTAAGTTATAAAGTATAAAATAAAGTGCTTACTGCATCCCATAGTCTCTTCTTCAAAAAATTTTCCCATTGTTCTGCTGGTACAAGTGATAAGTTAACTATTTCATCTAATATTTCACCCCTCGCTTTGTCGAATAATTCATCACGATCCAATTCGCGTATTCGCGGAAATTTATTCTTCCACTCAGTTTCAAGATTAAAACGTGTTGCACGAAATGCATCAGCCTATAAAATTTCATAGTAATAAATTCTAAAACTCTATAGAAATTATTGATTAGTGCTTGTTTACTTAAGTATTGCGACAAAATAAATCTTAAACGACCTGGCTTTTCAAAGGGAAATGACAAAGTGGCATGGAATGATTGTGATATTAATGGTAAAAGAATTCAAAAATTTGTTGCCTGTGATTCAACTGAATCTTTGACCATTCTCCAGAAGCAATCCGATACAGCCAAAGACATATTCCTGGTTGTCACTTGTGAATGCTTTAAGACACCATCTCTAAATAAAATCTGATTCAAGTCTCACACAAAATTATGCAACTAAAGTTAGACAAAAAGATGGATGCAAAAATCTATAATCACTGAGTGAAAATGCGACATAAAATGCAAAATAGAAAGATCTTTTAGCCTTTAATTTGGACTTGATTCATTTATAAAAATTTGAAAATTTTAACATTTGGTCTATTGAATGAATCGTAAAAAATGTACTTGAAAAGTTTAGATCTGGCGAAGAATTCTTCTTCATATTTTATAATGGATTCAATGCTTTCAGTGCTCGAGCCTTTACCTGTGACAACGGCATAATAGCCCAGAGCTTTCATAGGAAACAACTTCCCTTCCAGAATTTTCTTTATTCGATCAGGATTTGCAAAATTCTTTTCCGCCAAATCAACCTATCAATAAAACCTTTTCACAACGAACTTCTGTTGAATAACGGACATTATGTATTTCAATTTTAATTTAATCAAAAAATTAAGCGCTACTGACCTTAGTTAATACTAAAATAGTTCTTTCACCGACAGGATCAATAGCGCTCACAAGATCTGTTACATTGCTACGTTCAGCATCAACGGAACCATCTAAAATTTCGATTTTTTGCAACTGAAACTCATTTCAAACTTCCAAAAACAAATGTTAACTTGTTCTAAAGACAAGTTAGCACTGAAAAGAGAAATATAAAGATCAGACAATTCAGACAATATAGATGTTACAATGTAATGGTATTGTAAACCACTGTTAAAAAAATACCGTCTAAAAATCGCACTTCATTCACTTTACATCTTCAAATTGTTTTCAAAATAAACAGCATGAGATTCAATTACAAAAGTCTCACTGAACTTAAAAAAAGTACCTTGTATGCATAAGATGATAGCATTTGGATTTTCCATATATGTTTTACACATTTTAACAATATCATCCTTCGTTTCTTTAGCCATATCAACCGTCACCGTTGATATAACGCCCGGCAAGTCAACCAAAACCATTCGTGGAAGAGATGGACCTGAACAAAGATTTAATCGCCCATATAATACATAATATCGATTAAAGTTTCATGAAAAAAGGTGCAGTTTGAAATCATATTATACAGCTTACAGCTTTACAATTCAAATGAAATCTGTTATAGATACTTAGCCATAGCAAAATTATAGAATTCATTTAACTGAAACTCCAAAATCGGAGATATCTGACCAAATCCTAAGGAACTAAATTCGAAAGCATTTCATAAATTTGTAGATTATTAGCAGATTAATGAATTTCTTAAACTTTATAATAACACAAAGTTACCTTTGACTGTCAGAGCAATTACTTCACTAGATACCGTTTTACCACCGGCAATTGAATTTCTCATTCTTATTTCGATTTCATTTCTCAGCTGTTTCAGCTCTGATTCTTTTGTTAGGTCAAACTCGCGAGTGCTATCTTTGAAGCAAGCAATGTGATACGGTCCTTCACTTAGAGTTACCTACAAATGATGCTTTCAAGTTGTTAATAATGCAAGTTTAAAAAATGATGGGCGAATTATTATCAAACACATTACACGATTTTATGTACTCCTTCTCAAAATCCTTAAAAAAATTATTCCAATCACCTTCACTGGAGCTCTCGTCATCATTTCGCCTGATCCACGAGGAAATATTCGAGCCTGAGCTATCATTTCTAAGACGGATGTTTTTCCTGAAATTCTCTGGTGTATAAGAAAACTCCGACAGTGACTAATAAAATGATGAGTATGACTTTTTTCTTTCAATAAATTACAACATGTTTTTTCTGGATTAATTACCACAAAATTTTCCAGGAATAAATCACCGGAACTTTGATCCCCAACGACAACTACACGTGGCAAATTATCGGCTGTATTGTACGATGAATCATATTCAGTGAGCAGATCGAGCGCTTCCGAGTACATATCGATCAAAGATCTCTATCATAAATCAAGTTTACATTAATATCATCGGAAAAAAAAGAAAAATTTTCGAATTTATTGACAGATTAAACCCAAAATTTAAAATTTGAAGCAAACCTTCATTTTTTTCAGTCTCCGTGAGGCACCTTGATCTTTCAGCAATAGTCTCTGCTTCAAATTTTTATTTTCTTTCTCCAATCTTTCGAGTTCTCGTTGATACTGACTCTGAAAAAAACCTTCATATATTGCCTCCAAAAGCAAAAATATTTTAGTCACTTGCCAAATCAATCACTTGCTACAACTATATCAGAGAATCCTTGATGGATTGCAAAAAAAAACAAAAAAAAATCTAAAAAACCTGAGTTTTCAGCATGTCCTCTTGCAGCTTCTGAATTCTCTCGGTTTCATTCATCTATAAAATTGAGGTGATGTAATAGTTTTTCTCAAAAGCTTTAGCCCACAGCATTTCTGCTCCAATTTAAGATTTGCTTCAAATGAGTGCAGATACATTTCCAAAGATTACCTTTGTGTATTCATTTTCTTCACGTTCGGACACATTCTTCTTCCTTTTGAATGCATCCGACAAAGATGAAAAAAGTGTTTTGGGTGCTGAAATTTTGTAGACAAACTACCCATCAAAACATGGAAATGCATATAATTAAAATAAAGAACTATGTTAAAAGAGAAAGTAATGAAAAAGCTGATTCATAGAGAACTTACCATTATCTTTTGCAAAATGTCGTTTAACTTCTGAAATTGCAAAAATCTTATATAAAATTCATATACTCAAACACAAAAAGCTTAGCAAGTCATACAAAGCAAAGCGAGATAAAAGGGAAATTCTGCGAAAAACAATGGAAAGTGAAGCAAATAAATAAGTACTATGGAGATATTTAGCGTTAAAACATGGAATGGGAAAAGAAAGCAAACATATGCATTCACCATTTTGAGCCATAAAATCTAATCCAGAAAAGAAATGACCGTCTTGTGGCTCGGAATCTGGAATTCCACTTGAAGAATCGTCTGAAAATCCGTTAATAAAGACAACAGTAGTAATTTTTATAATTAGTATCTTGGAAAAAATTTTCATAATTAATATCAAATCGATATTGAAAATTATCGTTATTTTTAACTTTCCAAACCAAAATCAGAGCAAAAGCAGCCATCATTCTATAAAAGAGCTGGTGAATCACATCAGCCACACAAACTTAAAATATAACATAGGTTTTTGCTTCTTGACAAAACCCTTTTGAGTTAGCCTTTTGACAAAAATGCATATACTTTCACCAACTGTTGAAAAAAAAAACAGCAAAAAAGGGAGAATGTGTAGTTATTCCATAATAAAACTTGCCCGAATAGCATAACAAAGTCCGACCTTCAATAGGCTCCAATTTCCACATATTTTGTAAACCACCCATTTTCATTTGTAAATTCTTCACCCATAATTGCTCTTTAGTCAACCATTTTGATTTCGCTTCATTATAGAAATTTTTATATTCATTCACTCGTTTCTCATCCATTTTGATCCAGTCTGGTAAAGAAAGTTCTGGCAAACTTTTTTTCCATTCCTCATATCGCTAAAATTTGATTTTCGAAGAAAACTTAACACATTACACAATACTTTTCATATGTTAAAATACTGATTCTCTCTAATTTACATAATCATACAATACAATAGGTAAATTTAACTTACGTTACTGGCTGCAACGGAACCACTAAAAACACCAGCTGCAACCCAATATCGCAATTTCAAAGCTTGACGAAGCATAAATCTTGCAAAATATCTCTCGCTTCCAAAGTTCTGTCCTTTCTTGAACAAAAGTCTGAAATGATATTTGTCAATCCATAATCAAAGTATATCTTTACGTGACTACATCCAATTATCATCTTGATTCCTCTGAATTCATATCTAAGTATTGATACACTTTCAATTTACACTTATTATTATGCTTATTGTTCATGTGAATTTCAGAATGAATTTTTTGAATATTTCTAACAGGATTCTGAATCACAGAAGACTGGAATTGTATTATTTAGGCGTATTGGGAATATTCAAATCTTTGGAAGAAACATCACATCTTGCTGAATTTCTGATTTCGAAAACGTCAGGCAAAAATATTACAGAACGAAAGCGACTCAGATCCCTCTTTATTTTTCTAAACATCTTTTTTTATTGATGTTTAGAAAATTTTCCATCTTTTAAATATTATGAAGTTCTTTGCTTCTTTTTATCTTATTTTTAAAATTTTTTGAAAAAATTTTCAAAATAACCTCTTTCTTGATCCAAACATAGAATATGGCCGTATAATCGGTGATAAAATATCAGTTTTTCTTCGATTTAAAGCTATCACCGTTTTTTTCATTCCGTGCAACAACATCCGTAGCAAACTTTTGACCAGATGTAATTATTCACAGACGATCAATTAAACATACGTGCAACAATAATTTCATGCTAATGATGACATTTGATATATCTTAAAGAGGACGAGAGAAGAAGAGAGAGAGAGAGAGGGAGAGAAAGAAAGGGAGATGATTAGCTTACAGGAGTTGTAGATGGCAATATAGAGCAGATGAAGTGTTGGTCAATTGCGCACGTGTTATACGCAGAACGGCTCTATCAGTCGTCGGGATAAAATGTTTTCATCGTGTCTCCGTGGAATTGATGAACAGATTAGTAATGTGGAAGAAGACGGAGTGTTAGCGTTGCTTTATGAAATGAGGTGTTAGGATGGTTGCATGCTCAGTGAGGCGTGAAGATAAACATTTGTTGTGACGTAAGTTATGATAATGACAATGTGTTGCCCAGGAGAAAGAATATAATTTAAGTCATTATTCAGTTGACTTTTTCATAAAATAAATTTAAGCAGTCTCAGAAATTAATATTTTCTTAGATTAACCCCTAGATTTGTTCACTTATTTTGTTTCATCGCTTCTTTTATACAGATTTTAAAGTATTGCTTATGAATTTAAATTTTTGTTCTAATTTAAGAAATTTTTGAATTTATTTTAGATTTCAGAAATTGAATGATTGTACGTTTTCTTATGAATTTATTATCTTAAATGAGGTTATCTCCTACCAGTAAATGTGACAAATAATCTGCAAGTTTGAATTTGATCCATTTTTTTCGTTGGTTACTGATTAATATTTAACATTTGCTGAGTCATTCCTGAAGTTAGAACAGTTTGGCTCACTTGACTAGCCCATTTCTCGGAATAATAAAGTCAGTAATGTTTATCCTAAAAATTTTGATGGAATAGATTATTTAAAATTATTTCATTTAACTAGGGTTTACTTCTACGAATTTTTTATTTTATTTATTTTACTTGACACATGTGATGAACGTTGCTTTTTGACGTGAGGATGACTGATTTGAAATTACTCTTTGATCGGTCACATAATTTCATATATGTCACTTCCGCTTTCCCTGAAGGAAATTTCTATTATGTGTTTAACTCATCAAGCTGGTTTTACCAGGGTTATTTATTGCTTTCTAAGTAACATAATCCCATAGTTGAAACAAAAATTGAGCTAAATTAAAAATATGATCAATCCATTTTTAACAGTGACATAATATTCGGACTAAAACAATGAGACTTCGAAGTAATCGAAATACTGAGCAGCCCAATGCAATTTCGGAGCAGTTCCCCCCCAATCCACTGCAACCGTTGAGAACTGAAGGAAAAAGAACAAAAAGGATGGCACCTGCCAATCGAGATGAAAAGTCGGCAAAAAGAAAGGTACAGGTAAGAAATCAATCGTCGGCAAATTTTTTCTTGGCTGAATTCTCTATTAAGCTTTATAAATATTGAAAGATTGCGCCTATGAGCTTTTTTAAAATCTCATGCATTTCCAGTGTGTTCACAAAAATCTGGAATAGAGGTAATCTTTGTTTATGATAAATCAAGCAGACAATATTTACTGTTGAGTGTTTATTGAATTCAGATTTTTATTTCATTGTTAATGTGAGTAGACATGTTCACTTCTAGAAGATTAGCTTTAGTAGAATTAGCATTGTTATGACAATTTGATATGTTTTTAAATGGCTGAAGATCTAACAGATGATATTGAGGATTTGAATGCACCGACAACTTCCGGCTGTAGCTCAACAACTCATCACCATCATCAGCAACAACAACCTCCCGTTAATAGCGATAGCGGTGCACAGTTAGGAAAACGTAGAAGTAATAAATCGAATAGAGGAAAAGCTGAAAAAATGCAAGAGGACAATGTTCAGGAGGATATCAGTTCCATTCCAGACCACGTTCTGGTTAGTGTGTTTTCCTGATTAGGATTACTGCCTAACTATTAAAACAGTAGATTAAGCGGAATAGATCAGTATTTCAGTATCAGTATCAGTAATAGATTAGTATTTCAGTATAATCAGTATTTCTCGGAAACCCGCGAATTTTATCGGCTTTCAAACTGTCGAGGATACTATTTTGCTAATCCAGTTGACAGATTATTATCCACATTGATTATTTAATGTAGACGATTGCTTTTCCAACAATTTCTTTTATTTATTTCTTATGAATTTTCCTTTTCTTTTCCCTCTCTGCAGATCTCAATTTTCACGCTGTTACCTATTGTGGATCGCATAAGAATAGAACGAGTTTGCCGCCGATGGCGTCACATTGCCAAAAATTATTCATGGACAATGACAACCGAATTCTCCTACTCGTCACTTATTGGTGATAAGGAGTGTTCACTGCCTTGCTTGATTGAACGTCCGGTGGTTGGCAACAAAGAAGTTAGTTTTTTTATTATAGTAGAAGATAAAAGAATTTATTTTATAAATATATTTCGCATCAGTTAATTATAGATGTGCTTCTGGAATGGTAGAATTTAAGATTTAACTAGTATGATTTTATTTTTAGTAATTGGCAGCTGAAATTGTGAAACTTCCATTAAGCAGACACATAGATAACTCATTAAGTAAACACATAGATAATTTGAGAATGAATTTTACTTTTGGCTTAATAATTAATATAATAATTCTAGATAAAATCTTTGGCACAGCGCTGCGGTGATCATTTGCTTGAAATGGATTTACATGCATTCAGGGATACGTTAACATATAATGTTTGCATGTGCTTCGCCATACATTGTCCAAATTTGACTGTTCTGAATATGTATGGTATTCAGTTGACCAATTCATCCTTGAAATCACTCGGAAGACACTGTCCAAATCTGGAAATCGTTAATTTCCATCGATGTTTCCAGGTCCTTTGAGTATTTTAAAAGAAAATATATAAAAATTTCAAGAACCTCGTAAGCTGAAATGGTTTTCAACATTTCAGCTTGTGAGGTTCTTGAAATGGGTTGTGGACGAAATTCGTATTAAATTTCAAATTAGACAGTATTAGGTAATTAAAGAATTATCAATTTTAAATTGAATTTTTTTTGGATATTTTCTGGTTACACCTACTTAGATATGTAGGATTCAGGATAGAGGGAGGGCGAAAGGAAATACATTCCAGTGATTCCTCTTTATATCTTTTATCATGTGAACTTGCCGAATTTCTTCTAATGCTTTATATTATATTGGAATTTTTCTAATTTTTAATCCTATATTAAAATTATGTTAGCTTCGTGTTTTCATTTTGATTAATTCAAAACGAGGAATTTCTATTTCAACAGTATTGTTATATTGAAGTATGTAGTTTGAGACTTTAATTGCAAATTGCAAATTCTATTCTGTATTTTTCAGGAAAGCGTTGTGGAGCGAGGGCTTACATCGTTTTTTTCTAAGTGCCAAAATTTGAAAGAGGTCGATGTAGGTGAGAATGAACGCCTTACTGGTCTGCCATCATTTACCGTCTTGCCACGATCCATCATTAATTTGAAAATTGGTGGATGCTTTCGATTGACTGCAGCATCACTATTCGCTATAAGAGATAGGTTTGTTTTATTCATCGGTTTTATTTATTTTTTAATGCATGGGTTTTATATTACTGCATTTCGAAATACTTTCATTTAGTGAATAAAACTCTGAGATTTACTGAAGCTAAAAGTACATACAAATTTAGATGCCCGGATCTAGTAGCTCTAACGATGAACAGTGTTGACAATATATCACCTGCTCATTTGAACAGCTTTTTTGCTTCACTTCCCAAGTAAGTTATTTTAATTTTTGTTATTTGAAGTAAATAAATGAATTGGTTGCACTTTTAAAAGGCATCTTGAATTTTTAGATTGCCCAAATAGTTTTCCTACATCTTAGTTGATTCTGAAATAGCTCCAAGTACTTGTCAGTTGAACTAAAATTCAATCTATCTTACTTGATCTCAGATGGAAAGCATTTTTTTAAAGTAAAATAGGAACTTCCTTCTATGTTATTTATTTTAGGTTGGAACTGCTTAAATTTGGTGAATGTTATGTTTCGCATACGCTTGGAGGAATTGAGATAAATTTCAGTCTGATGAGGAATCTTACTGAACTAACTGTTTATGACAATTTGCTGATGACAGATGAGGCAACTTTTAAGTTTTTATTGTATCTATAGAACGAATTAATTCCCTTTTCTTTACTTTTCTGTCGAAAAAAATTAGAATATTAGATATTTCCTTATGTATGGGAAGTTTTTTCTTGAAAAGTGCAGGTAATTTCTAAGGATCACGAAGTTTTCATGAGTATTCGTGAAACTTGTAATATTTTAACAGATAAGATTGCTTGTCTCTTCTTTTTTTACCGTATTTTGACTGCTTAAGGTTCAGGTTTTGCGGAACACAGTAATTGGATGCAAGCAGTTGAAGTATGTTGACTTGAGTGGTTGCAGTCGTTTTGTGAGCAATGTTGGGCTGCGTGAGCTTGCAAAACTGCCATATCTTAGTCACTTAAATCTGTCTTATATGAGAGTGGTAGATGATCAGACAATTCGAATAATCGCAGAAAAGGGCACCTTACAGGTCAGCATTGTTGTTTACCAGTATTTTTCTCCAGTTAACCCATCATTTTGATTGTGGGGATATGCGCAAGATTATTCTATTTTTTCCCAGGTGATTGTAACTGATATCGGTCATGAATATTGATTTTTATTGCCAAATAGTTATCAGTTTTGCTATGAAATAATAAAAAAAATATCTCATTTGGTGCCTAAATTAGCTTTTGGCATGTGCTCTGTGGCTGTGCAATCAAAATATTGCAGTCCTGATGGCCATTTATTTTAAAGACACTTAATGACAGATAATTGTTTGCATCTGATTAAGAGATAAGGCAGATACAGGAAATGTGTTTCCTTAGCTGAGAAAGTACATTTAAAATCATTAATACACTTTCCCTTGTTGTAGACTGTCCTTCTGCATCGGTGTGATGAGATCTCGGATGAAGCAGTCAAAATGCTGTTGAAACATTGTCCGGTTAGTTTGGATAATTTTAGTTTTGTTGCTGATTTTAGAAGTCCTTATGAGATTCCGCTTGCCGTGAAATCGATCTGCAAAACAGTTTCTAAGGTGCTTGAATTAAATATATATGTTCATACTATCCACCTAAAGGCCATAATATTTAAACTATAGCTAATATGATTTGAATTAGACATGGCCCAGCATTGGTTGGTTTAACGAAGAATAAAGAGCTTAGAAAAATTGTTATACTGTGGTATTGCATGTCAATATACTACTATGTATGTTACGAAATATATTTGTTTCTGAGTTAACGGAAAGAATATAAAGAAAGACAAGCCTTATGCAATCATTTATTTATTGTATATTTGAGGTTCTTAACAGTTTTTTAGTTCTTAACTGCGCTTGATATTTCATTCTGCCCGAAGGTTACTGATGAATCAATGGAAGGAATGGTTAGTTATGTATCAAAGCGACAAGAAAGAGAGGTGTGTTTTTATTCACGGTTATTTAAGTTCAAAGGATGGTAAAAAATAAAATCTGATTTGTAACAAAATGGTTAAAAAATTAAAAATTTTTTGACCACTTCATTAGCGCTTTTGCTATTTTGCATATATTTTATTGTGCCAGTGAGAATAATCGTTCTGCAGGCATTACTGCCAACGTCAAGCAGAGGACACACAACACCGCTAACGGAAGTGGTGACGAAAATGAGACGACATGAACGAAGTTTGCAGGCGCTGATGGATGCAGATTTTGAGCGTCACTTGATGCGCTTCGAGAATTTTCGCTATCGTTTCGGGAATACATCGGATTATTCAACGAACCCGTTATATGATATCCGTCATATGGGTCGCTATAAACCGAATCCAGATGGCTTCACTGAACTACATGTCTGGACTGCCCATAGTAGCATAACTCGACCATATCCAAGGACACATCCATTGCTGAAAGTAGATGATCGCGACTCGATCGCGGAGCAGAGCTCATCCATTTTTGAATTCAGTGTTGTGATTAGAATAAATTAGTTTCTTTTATGCATTATTTTTAATTATACTCATTTTTATTAGATTATTTTTTGATTTGCTGTCCTTTGAAGATGGTTCAGGACTCTGCGACTACGGGATTCATTTTTTCTTCCTGATTTTCTAATCGAGGAACGTTGCTGATATTATTAGATTGAATTTTTACTTTAATTTCCAACTGGTATTTCTCTGAGAAAATAGTTTCTTATGGTGTATTTTTCTTACATCATTGCAGGAGTAATATACGCAATGCTTTCTGCTTTGTCACTTTATATAAATTTTACGTCTGATGTGAATCTTACTTTTGTAACGTACTTCCTTATATTCTTCACTGTTAATGAATTGTTTTTATGTCCTATTTCAAGCTAATTCTTTCGATATTTGAAAGTTCAGCATCATATTTTGTGTTCAAATTTCAGGAATTTAAAACAATCTCTCCGACCACCTTTTTTTTATTGGTTAGAATTTTAGACATGAGTGTTGAAAGGTGATGTTTATATGACACTATACCGCTTCTTGTAGTTAAGAAAATGGTGCGATTGAGTTCATGAAGATTATGCATTTAGGAATTGACTTTTTGCTATTTTAAAGTTGCTTACCTCAATTTTTAGTTTTGTTAGTTTCTTTGGCTTTTACGTTATCATTTACCGAAGCAAAACATCGTCGCATTTTGTCCTTTAATTGGTTCATTTTTGATCTATATAATATGTAACTGTATATTATTGCGAATAGACTATGTTGTATACTTGTACCATGATTCGACTAAAAATTACTGCAATTTAAAATATCAATTCTGCCAAAACGTTCATAACGGTAGTAAAGATTAATTGCTGGAATTGTCTTTATTGTTTTGTATGTCATTATTTGATACTTTTGGAATCGATTTAAAGTACTTTCACTTTACACACATTTCTTTCAAATGCAAAATGCATCTTTTAAATTAGCTGCAGTTGCATTTGTATTACCATTTAGTCACTCATCGTGATATCCTTTAGATATTATTGCAGCATGCAGATAGATCTGCGTCAAATTTAAAAGCTTTTATGATTCTTATAATTGTTAAATGATGTGACTTAAGCGCACTGTGAAATGCCATTTTCGTGTATTGTCATATATAATCTCATTTACATTTAATCAAATGTGATAATTTCAATTCATAATAATCTTATAGTTCCAAATAAAAATATGTATGATAAAGCATTCAAAAAATAATGGGCCGTGCGACTTCCTCAAAAGATTTTTCAGGAAAGTTCAAAGTTGCTGTATATGACGATACAAATTTAACAATATAACTCATTGTTTTGCAGATCATAAATCCATTTAGCTAGTAGATGCAAAGTGAATTTTGTCAACTAGGTAATTGAAATTTGAATAAATAATAATAATTGTTAATCTCAATAGATGATTTGAATAAATAAATGATAATACATGGGAAATGAATTTTATTTATTAAACAATTAAGATTTTAATAAATGATGTTCTTGCCAAAAGATGCTCATATAGCAGGTTAATGTGGTTTTCTGAAATCAGGAAGTACCGCATTCATTGATATGGTCGGTCAAGCGAGCGATGTAAGATGTGGTGCAGCAAAGCGATATTCTGCATAATTATTGCACTTAAAAATTAATGTTTGATGTTTTTAATGTTTTTGACAAATATTGCAGTTGCTCTTCTTATTTGTTTTATATTTTAGAATGCGAACTGGTCCCAGTAAGTTGTTATTTCAAGAAGATGAAGGAACTTCGTCGAGTGATGTTGATGATCATGAACAGAATATTAAGGAGACAATATTGAGGAAGGCAGTGAACTTTCGTTGTTTTTCTGAAACCGAGGTGGTTTTTTACTAAAATTTTTAGTGATCATATATGTTAATTGTAGGAATTTTTTCTTTTTTGTTTTATCATTTCTTTCTTTTTTTCTAGTATATCAGGTCCTAAAAGGAACCTAAACTGAAGCATACTGTTTAATTCTTCACCTTATAAGACATGCTTTTGAATTATTTCGTATCTGCTGCATATATTCTGCTCGATTTTTACTTTATTTGCTGTTTGTTTTCATGACGGAAATTTTTTTTTTACGAGATCTCATTGAATTTAGTTTGAAGTTTTAAGTCTGAAATTTCAGATTTTAATTCAAAATAAATTTTTTATTCAAGAAGCTTATGTTGATATATTTAGGAAGTTGAAAGAGATGATTTATTTGTTTTGGATACTGATGGTACTAGTAATATCAACATGAACATTGTCAAGAAACCATTTTTTGCAACAAGATGCGATGCAAAGAAGAATAAAGCACCGTTTTCTGATTCAGTTTTGGATGAGACAACAAAAGAGGTGCGCAAATCAATCGAAATTTCTCCAGGATTGCATAATCCACATGTGGAATTTTAATTTGATTTTCAATTTTCAATCTTACAAATTATTTAGTCACGTGCAATGACAAATTGGGGTTGTGATTTTGCACTTTCAATTCATTGTAGTGCGTGTTTTTCGTGATGTAAAATTACTTGTATCCACGTAACGAATATCACAGAAAAGTTAAACCTACTTATTTTAAAAGCGGTAATAGTATTATAAGATTATTTCTTTCAGCTGTTATCAAAAAGCATAATAAAACCTGGCTTTGAAAAATATCTCGGTGAAGGACATGTACCAATATCTTGGCGGGCATTAAAGAGACAAAGAAAAGTATGTTTTTGTGATTATTAGTATTGTTTTATTCTATGTCTACTGATGTTATGCTTAAAAGTTTGAACGAATCTTTGTGTCTTAGATGGACCGAGAACGTACAAAGGGTGATGCATGGTATAATCTACCAGCAAGTGAAATGACCGAGGAAAGGGAACGTGATCTAGAAATTATTCAAATGAGAAGTTCTCTAAATTCGAAAGCTCATTACAGGAAGAATGATCGTTCCGTGTTACAAAAATATTTCCAGGTTAGTTTTTAGAGTTTGAATATATTGTTCAAAGCCAGATTAATTATTTTAACTTAATTTTTCATGCTTTAAAAATTTTTTGTTAATTTGTGCGTGTATGTGTGTGTTTGTATGTGTGTTTTTATGTATGTTTCTTTTATACTCAACATACTCGTATCAAAATGATTGGCTAACCAAATTAGTTTATAAATCACTGACATATTACATTCTAATTAGATTTCTGCTTCTTAGTTAAGCATCGAATTAAATACACAAACTAGCTATGCAGCTTTTCTAATATGCAGCTGAGATAAAATGGATATGTTAACGCCAAATCATCCTTCTGCTTTCCAATTTTGGCAGATATTCATTGTGTTATGTATCATATGGACGAGTGTATGAATAAAATTTCAGGTTGGTACTGTTGTTGAGACAAAAGCAGATTTTTATTCATCTCGTATACCAAAGAAGCAGCGTAAGAGGACACTTGTTGAAGAACTTCTGGCGGATACAGATTTGCAAACTAAGCAGCGCCAAAAATATCAAGAAATAAAGGCACGAGAAGCGATAACAAAGCGTGGAGCTTTTCGGCACTCATCATATCCAAAGAAAAGGAAATTCAGGCAAAGCGTCAGAGTTTAGCTTACTGCTCTCTCTTTCTATCTTCGCTTCTTATGATTTAATTTTTCAACATATGTTATACTTATGTACGGTATAAATAAAAAATATGGACTTGCAATGAGTTTAATTATTTGTTACTGCTTTTGATATGTCTGCTAATTAACTTACCATTTGTTAAAAGCTGAATTCATGTATAAATTTCTGAGACGCTCTACCTTCGAAATAAATTTGATTTATCATCGGTAATCTTCAAATAACCAATGTTTTTTGAAAAAAATCAAAATTTTCAAATATCAGTACTATTAGATCAAGCTATTCAACAGGCCGGAAATCTAAAGTTTTTAAAGTTTTGGTACAAGCATACAAGAAAAGGAATGGTGAAATGACACCTCTGACAATAATTTGGATAACACATCATTTCCCTTTAACTGACAAACTGGAAACTGAATATTGAAACTTTAGAAATAAATTTTCAAAATTTATTAAACAGTTAACTTTCACTCCATGAATTTTATGTCAATTACGACCAAAATTTGATATCGAAAAAACGTTTCCGAAATTGGAAAAACGGAAATCAAGATCGGCTTAAAAGTTAAGAAATCATTCGTTTCAGGATCAGAATATCATTAAGAACATACAAAAATAAAAGATAGAACAACTTGACTTTGAGCATCTGAGATGTTAGCACATGGAAATCAACTTACTTATCATTAATAGATAAGATATGAATGCAATGCTTCAAAATGCGTTCTATTTTAGCTCATTTCTCTCGAGTGCCATCTTATTCTTCAAAACAATTTTTTGCCTTCTGTTTAATCGACAAATACGTCGATTAAATTCTCTAGTAAGTAACAGAAAGAAAAGCAACTGATAAAAGAAGATGATTGTGGTAGTTATATACAAAAAAAATAGCTGTTATCACTACTGTCGTCATTATCACTATTGAAATCTGATTTAAGCATGTCAATTTGATTGCTTCTTTATTTCACTTCTTTTTCCAGTATAACCATTTTGTCGGGTTTTAGTTTCAGCACCAGTTTTACACATCATAATTTTACGCACCCATTAAAACTGCATTCATTTTCAAAAAGTTTGATCCAATTTGAATTTTGATAGAATCAGAACAATATTGACCATATTGAGATTGATCATTTTGTAAGTGCTTCCACGGATTCGATTGACCGGATTTGCAGCAAACTAATTGCCCATATGAATGTTTTTCCCTGAGATCATATCCACTGATCTTAACGTGAGTTCGCATAACAGCATGGATATATTTAATAAAACAATACTTAAATTTATGAAATTATTAAATAACTTAATAATGATATCCTACATGTATGCTATGTAAGCTTTGTCATAAATGAGTGAATTCCTCATAATTTGAAAAAAAATCCATGAAAACCGCCATTGCTACTAGATGGCCAAACCAAAACCATTACACTTTGTGATGCTAAACTGTTACAGTTACACTCTCGTCTTCCAACTTATTTCGTTGCAAATATAAGCTAATTTACAACAATTAACCAAAAAAATGATGAGGAACAGTTGAAATTTTTTCCTAGAAAAGCATGCACCAAATCATTAAATAATTTGGCAATAGTTATGAACAAATGTAACGTGCCATCGAATATGTACGTTTACGTGATTAAAGAGTTTTTTTTAAGGAAAAAAATGTCATATGTCTTTAAAAGAAACGAAAATCGCGCAATCTGACAGTCATATTTATCACTGCGTTTGTAAACTGAATAACACATAAGCCAATATGTACATCTTCATCCATTAAGCGAATTTTGTGGTTAAGTTTCTTTCGCATTTTTGCTCTATTTTGAATTATATAAAAAATTCCTTAATAATATAACTTACAAGACAAAATGTCCATAGTAATCAAAAAAAGATGGAAAATACGACAGACGAAGAAAAAATAATATAGCATTAATACCTTATTTGAAGTTGCCTCACTAAATGTACATTTACACTATTGTCCTTTGAACAATAAATATTCTGCTATATAATCTCAAAACTTATACACAATCTCCAAGCTTGCATGTAATTTCCAAACTTTAATGCAATTTCCAAGCTTTCACGTAATCTCCAAACTTGCATGCAATTTCCAAGCTTTCACGTAATCTCCAAACTTGCATGCAATTTCCAAGCTTTCATGTAATCTCCAATCTTGCATGTAATCTCCAAACTTTCACGTAATCTCCAAACTAATACATAATCTTTAAAGTTGAAAGTATCTCATTATCGTGTGCTTTAGAAAAGGCAAGAGAATGTATATATAAAGACAGATTCTTTTCTTTTATTCTGTTGAAATATATGATATTACAAAGAATTATTTCCTGTTCAATCAATCCATATGCCAAAATTATAGATCTATCGCTTAATGTAGCTTTTTTGCTTCAGAAATATTTCGGAAGATTCCAATACGAACAAATTGAAGATTTCCAGAATCTAATCTATCCTACTACAGTATATCATCAAGTGGTTCAATCCCTTGAAAATACATTATTCTTCATCCTTTCATTTAAATTTGACATTTCTTAACATTCATCTTTAAATTACTATATTAATTTACAAATCAAAAAAGGTGACATTCTACCTATCGCTTTCGTAATTTAGCTCTCCGCTTCTGTCTCCTTCAAATTATACTTCACTTGCTAGCTATTTTCTTTCTTGGCTGTTGAATACAAAAACAGAATGCTTTCATCAAGCTCATTCAAATCCAAATTTCTTTCTTTTCCAAATAAGTTAGACTCTTGAGTTTAATTCTTCTAGATCACACCAAAATTCTAGCTATGACGTGAAAATATAGAAGAATGGTTCAAATAATAATATACTATAATAAATATCAATCACTAAAAAACAATAAAAAAATACATAAAAGTATACATCAAATTAAAATAATCAAATGGATAATCAGTAGGATAATGACCAGCCCAAGTCAATCAAAAAAAAACCCAAACAAAACATAAAACAAAAAAATACAAAATATTATCCAAAAAAGTATAATAACTACCAGGTCAAACAAGAAAAACTAAAACAAACACAGACATAAACATTAAAACAACACCAAAAAACTTACTAGGAACAGAACGTAAAATAGTAAAAGCAAACAAAAAAT